AGGTGGTGAGGTGGCATGGCGCACGGCCAGGTGGTGAGGTGGCATGGCGCACGGCCAGGTGGTGAGGTGGCATGGCGCACGGCCAGGTGGTGAGGTGGCATGGCGCACGGCCAGGTGGTGAGGTGGCATGGCGCACGGCCAGGTGGTGAGGTGGCATGGCGCACGGCCAGGTGGTGAGGTGGCATGGCGCACGGCCAGGTGGTGAGGTGGCATGGCGCACGGCCAGGTGGTGAGGTGGCATGGCGCACGGCCAGGTGGTGAGGTGGCATGGCGCACGGCCAGGTGGTGAGGTGGCATGGCGCACGGCCAGGTGGTGAGGTGGCATGGCGCACGGCCAGGTGGTGAGGTGGCATGGCGCACGGCCAGGTGGTGAGGTGGCATGGCGCACGGCCAGGTGGTGAGGTGGCATGGCGCACGGCCAGGTGGTGAGGTGGCATGGCGCACGGCCAGGTGGTGAGGTGGCATGGCGCACGGCCAGGTGGTGAGGTGGCATGGCGCACGGCCAGGTGGTGAGGTGGCATGGCGCACGGCCAGGTGGTGAGGTGGCATGGCGCACGGCCAGGTGGTGAGGTGGCATGGCGCACGGCCAGGTGGTGAGGTGGCATGGCGCACGGCAGGTGGTGAGGTGGCATGGCGCACGGCCAGGTGGTGAGGTGGCATGGCGCACGGCCAGGTGGTGAGGTGGCATGGCGCACGGCCAGGTGGTGAGGTGGCATGGCGCACGGCCAGGTGGTGAGGTGGCATGGCGCACGGCCAGGTGGTGAGGTGGCATGGCGCACGGCCAGGTGGTGAGGTGGCATGGCGCACGGCCAGGTGGTGAGGTGGCATGGCGCACGGCCAGGTGGTGAGGTGGCATGGCGCACGGCCAGGTGGTGAGGTGGCATGGCGCACGGCCAGGTGGTGAGGTGGCATGGCGCACGGCCAGGTGGTGAGGTGGCATGGCGCACGGCCAGGTGGTGAGGTGGCATGGCGCACGGCCAGGTGGTGAGGTGGCATGGCGCACGGCCAGGTGGTGAGGTGGCATGGCGCACGGCCAGGTGTGAGGTGGCATGGCGCACGGCCAGGTGGTGAGGTGGCATGGCGCACGGCCAGGTGGTGAGGTGGCATGGCGCACGGCCAGGTGGTGAGGTGGCATGGCGCACGGCCAGGTGGTGAGGTGGCATGGCGCACGGCCAGGTGGTGAGGTGGCATGGCGCACGGCCAGGTGGTGAGGTGGCATGGCGCACGGCCAGGTGGTGAGGTGGCATGGCGCACGGCCAGGTGGTGAGGTGGCATGGCGCACGGCCAGGTGGTGAGGTGGCATGGCGCACGGCCAGGTGGTGAGGTGGCATGGCGCACGGCCAGGTGGTGAGGTGGCATGGCGCACGGCCAGGTGGTGAGGTGGCATGGCGCACGGCCAGGTGGTGAGGTGGCATGGCGCACGGCCAGGTGGTGAGGTGGCATGGCGCACGGCCAGGTGGTGAGGTGGCATGGCGCACGGCCAGGTGGTGAGGTGGCATGGCGCACGGCCAGGTGGTGAGGTGGCATGGCGCACGGCCAGGTGGTGAGGTGGCATGGCGCACGGCCAGGTGGTGAGGTGGCATGGCGCACGGCCAGGTGGTGAGGCGGTGGCATGGCGCACGGCCAGGTGGTGAGGTGGCATGGCGCACGGCCAGGTGGTGAGGTGGCATGGCGCACGGCCAGGTGGTGAGGTGGCATGGCGCACGGCCAGGTGGTGAGGTGGCATGGCGCACGGCCAGGTGGTGAGGTGGCATGGCGCACGGCCAGGTGGTGAGGTGGCATGGCGCACGGCCAGGTGGTGAGGTGGCATGGCGCACGGCCAGGTGGTGAGGTGGCATGGCGCACGGCCAGGTGGTGAGGTGGCATGGCGCACGGCCAGGTGGTGAGGTGGCATGGCGCACGGCCAGGTGGTGAGGTGGCATGGCGCACGGCCAGGTGGTGAGGTGGCATGGCGCACGGCCAGGTGGTGAGGTGGCATGGCGCACGGCCAGGTGGTGAGGTGGCATGGCGCACGGCCAGGTGGTGAGGTGGCATGGCGCACGGCCAGGTGGTGAGGTGGCATGGCGCACGGCCAGGTGGTGAGGTGGCATGGCGCACGGCCAGGTGGTGAGGTGGCATGGCGCACGGCCAGGTGGTGAGGTGGCATGGCGCACGGCCAGGTGGTGAGGTGGCATGGCGCACGGCCAGGTGGTGAGGTGGCATGGCGCACGGCCAGGTGGTGAGGTGGCATGGCGCACGGCCAGGTGGTGAGGTGGCATGGCGCACGGCCAGGTGGTGAGGTGGCATGGCGCACGGCCAGGTGGTGAGGTGGCATGGCGCACGGCCAGGTGGTGAGGTGGCATGGCGCACGGCCAGGTGGTGAGGTGGCATGGCGCACGGCCAGGTGGTGAGGTGGCATGGCGCACGGCCAGGTGGTGAGGTGGCATGGCGCACGGCCAGGTGGTGAGGTGGCATGGCGCACGGCCAGGTGGTGAGGTGGCATGGCGCACGGCCAGGTGGTGAGGTGGCATGGCGCACGGCCAGGTGGTGAGGTGGCATGGCGCACGGCCAGGTGGTGAGGTGGCATGGCGCACGGCCAGGTGGTGAGGTGGCATGGCGCACGGCCAGGTGGTGAGGTGGCATGGCGCACGGCCAGGTGGTGAGGTGGCATGGCGCACGGCCAGGTGGTGAGGTGGCATGGCGCACGGCCAGGTGGTGAGGTGGCATGGCGCACGGCCAGGTGGTGAGGTGGCATGGCGCACGGCCAGGTGGTGAGGTGGCATGGCGCACGGCCAGGTGGTGAGGTGGCATGGCGCACGGCCAGGTGGTGAGGTGGCATGGCGCACGGCCAGGTGGTGAGGTGGCATGGCGCACGGCCAGGTGGTGAGGTGGCATGGCGCACGGCCAGGTGGTGAGGTGGCATGGCGCACGGCCAGGTGGTGAGGTGGCATGGCGCACGGCCAGGTGGTGAGGTGGCATGGCGCACGGCCAGGTGGTGAGGTGGCATGGCGCACGGCCAGGTGGTGAGGTGGCATGGCGCACGGCCAGGTGGTGAGGTGGCATGGCGCACGGCCAGGTGGTGAGGTGGCATGGCGCACGGCCAGGTGGTGAGGTGGCATGGCGCACGGCCAGGTGGTGAGGTGGCATGGCGCACGGCCAGGTGGTGAGGTGGCATGGCGCACGGCCAGGTGGTGAGGTGGCATGGCGCACGGCCAGGTGGTGAGGTGGCATGGCGCACGGCCAGGTGGTGAGGTGGCATGGCGCACGGCCAGGTGGTGAGGTGGCATGGCGCACGGCCAGGTGGTGAGGTGGCATGGCGCACGGCCAGGTGGTGAGGTGGCATGGCGCACGGCCAGGTGGTGAGGTGGCATGGCGCACGGCCAGGTGGTGAGGTGGCATGGCGCACGGCCAGGTGGTGAGGTGGCATGGCGCACGGCCAGGTGGTGAGGTGGCATGGCGCACGGCCAGGTGGTGAGGTGGCATGGCGCACGGCCAGGTGGTGAGGTGGCATGGCGCACGGCCAGGTGGTGAGGTGGCATGGCGCACGGCCAGGTGGTGAGGTGGCATGGCGCACGGCCAGGTGGTGAGGTGGCATGGCGCACGGCCAGGTGGTGAGATGGCATGGCGCACGGCCAGGTGGTGAGGTGGCATGGCGCACGGCCAGGTGGTGAGGTGGCATGGCGCACGGCCAGGTGGTGAGGTGGCATGGCGCACGGCCAGGTGGTGAGGTGGCATGGCGCACGGCCAGGTGGTGAGGTGGCATGGCGCACGGCCAGGTGGTGAGGTGGCATGGCGCACGGCCAGGTGGTGAGGTGGCATGGCGCACGGCCAGGTGGTGAGGTGGCATGGCGCACGGCCAGGTGGTGAGGTGGCATGGCGCACGGCCAGGTGGTGAGGTGGCATGGCGCACGGCCAGGTGGTGAGGTGGCATGGCGCACGGCCAGGTGGTGAGGTGGCATGGCGCACGGCCAGGTGGTGAGGTGGCATGGCGCACGGCCAGGTGGTGAGGTGGCATGGCGCACGGCCAGGTGGTGAGGTGGCATGGCGCACGGCCAGGTGGTGAGGTGGCATGGCGCACGGCCAGGTGGTGAGGTGGCATGGCGCACGGCCAGGTGGTGAGGTGGCATGGCGCACGGCCAGGTGGTGAGGTGGCATGGCGCACGGCCAGGTGGTGACGTGGCATGGCGCACGGCCAGGTGGTGAGGTGGCATGGCGCACGGCCAGGTGGTGAGGTGGCATGGCGCACGGCCAGGTGGTGAGGTGGCATGGCGCACGGCCAGGTGGTGAGGTGGCATGGCGCACGGCCAGGTGGTGAGGTGGCATGGCGCACGGCCAGGTGGTGAGGTGGCATGGCGCACGGCCAGGTGGTGAGGTGGCATGGCGGATGGCCAGGTGGTGAGGTGGCATGGCGGATGGCCAGGTGGTGAGGTGGCATGGCGGATGGCCAGGTGGTGAGGTGGCATGGCGGATGGCCAGGTGGTGAGGTGGCATGGCGGATGGCCAGGTGGTGAGGTGGCATGGCGGATGGCCAGGTGGTGACGTGGCATGGCGGATGGCCAGGTGGTGAGGTGGCATGGCGGATGGCCAGGTGGTGACGTGGCATGGCGGATGGCCAGGTGGTGAGGTGGCATGGCGGATGGCCAGGTGGTGATGTGGCATGGCGGATGGCCAGGTGGTGACGTGGCATGGCGGATGGCCAGGTGGTGAGGTGGCATGCACAAGGTGAAGAGAGGAAGAGGGAGCCGGGTCGGGTCGCCCTCGCGCAACCCACTGCTTCCTCCGCCTCACCCAAAGCTTGTACTTTCCGACACTTGCTTCTGCTGCCCATACGTTATTGCCTTTTCGCCATTCCCCTCCGATCCCAGTGACCGCTGCCCCTAGCCACCAGCACCCCAACCCTCTGGCGCCCACACTCTCTCCTCAAACCATCACCCTTGCACCCACACTCTCTCCTCACCCCAGCCCCCTAACCCACACCCTCCGCTCACTCCAGCCCCCTTGCAACAACACCCTGCCCGCACCTCGGAGCCCTCGCCCTGTGCGCCGCACGTGACCTGCCCCGCCGCCTCCTCCGCATGCTGCAGCGCCGCCTCCGCCCTCTCCAGTGCTGCCAGCTGCCAGGTCAGCGGGGGAGAGAGGAGCGATCAGGTGGAGCAGCAAGCAATGGAGCAGGGGGCAATTGAACAGCGAGCAATGGGGCAGCGAGCAATGGGGCAGCGAGCAATGGGGCAGCGAGCAATGGGGCAGCGAGCAATGGGGCAGCGAGCAATGGGGCAGCGAGCAATGGGGCAGCGAGCAATGGGGTAGCGAGCAATGGGGCAGCGAGCAATGGGGCAGCGAGAAATGGGGCAGCGAGCAATGGGGCAGCGAGCAATGGGGCAGCGAGCGATGGGGCAGCGAGCAATGGGGCAGCGAGCAATGGGGCAGCGAGCAATGGGGCAGCGAGCAATGGGGCAGCGAGCAATGGGGCAGCGAGCAATGGGGCAGCGAGCAATGGGGCAGCGAGCAAGGGGGCACGGGGGCGGTGGAGCATGGGCCACGGAAGGAGGCGCACCTCGATGGAGAGCGCGCTGAGCTGGTCGTCCAGATGGAGCTCCTCCATGCTCTCCTCTTCTGCCACGTGGACCAATGGGGAGCACGGGTGGTGGTGGGAGGTGGGCAATGGGAATGTGGGCATGGGCAGACGGCAAGTCTGCACTAGCGGTGATGCATGCACCACACATAACCATGCACCACACATAACCATGCACCACACATAACCATGCACCACACATAACCATGCACCACACATAACCATGCACCACACATAACCCTGCACACACATACCATGCACCACACATACCATGCACCACACATAACCATGCACCACACATAACCATGCACCACACATAACCATGCACCACACATAACCATGCACCACACATAACCATGCACCACACATAACCATGCACCACACATAACCATGCACCACACATAACCATGCACCACACATAACCATGCACCACACATAACCATGCACCACACATAACCATGCACCACACATAACCATGCACCACACATAACCATGCACCACACATAACCATGCACCACACATAACCATGCACCACACATAACCATGCACCACACATAACCATGCACCACACATAACCATGCACCACACATAACCATGCACCACACATAACCATGCACCACACATAACCATGCACCACACATAACCATGCACCACACATAACCATGCACCACACATAACCATGCACCACACATAACCATGCACCACACATAACCATGCACCACACATAACCATGCACCACACATAACCATGCACCACACATAACCATGCACCACACATAACCATGCACCACACATAACCATGCACCACACATAACCATGCACCACACATAACCATGCACCACACATAACCATGCACCACACATAACCATGCACCACACATAACCATGCACCACACATAACCATGCACCACACATAACCATGCACCACACATAACCATGCACCACACATAACCATGCACCACACATAACCATGCACCACACATAACCATGCACCACACATAACCATGCACCACACATAACCATGCACCACACATAACCATGCACCACACATAACCATGCACCACACATAACCATGCACCACACATAACCATGCACCACACATAACCATGCACCACACATAACCATGCACCACACATAACCATGCACCACACATAACCATGCACCACACATAACCATGCACCACACATAACCATGCACCACACATAACCATGCACCACACATAACCATGCACCACACATAACCATGCACCACACATAACCATGCACCACACATAACCATGCACCACACATAACCATGCACCACACATAACCATGCACCACACATAACCATGCACCACACATAACCATGCACCACACATAACCATGCACCACACATAACCATGCACCACACATAACCATGCACCACACATAACCATGCACCACACATAACCATGCACCACACATAACCATGCACCACACATAACCATGCACCACACATAACCATGCACCACACATAACCATGCACCACACATAACCATGCACCACACATAACCATGCACCACACATAACCATGCACCACACATAACCATGCACCACACATAACCATGCACCACACATAACCATGCACCACACATAACCATGCACCACACATAACCATGCAGCACACATAACCATGCACCACACATAACCATGCACCACACATAACCATGCACCACACATAACCATGCACCACACATAACCATGCACCACACATGACCATGCACCACACATGACCATGCACCACACATAACCATGCACCACACATAACCATGCACCACACATAACCATGCACCACACATAACCATGCAGCACACACCCCCAGCGGCTCACCTTGCCCCAGCGGCTCACCTTGCCCCAGCAGCTCGCACGCGTGTCGCAGGGCGTGGCACCTCTCGTCTGCAATCGCCTGTGCGTCGCTGTTGGCCGCCTTGAGCTGCTGCCGTGCCTCCTCTGGTGGTCGCAGGGGGATGAGCGCAGGGGGGTGAGCGCAATAGAGGCGACGGATTTAGGAAGATGGGATCGGGAGACGAAGAGGGGAGAGAGCTGGGGAGTTGTGGGGGAAAGGCAAGTGGGGGGGGAGGAGGGGATCGAAGGGAAAGGAGAGGGTGGGAGTCGAGGGGGAATGTCGAGGGGGGGCGACGAGGAGCGGAGACGAGGGCGGAAAGCGAGCAGGAGAAGCATGCGGGGTGGGCGGACATGCGGGGTGGGCGGACATGCGGGGTGGGCGGACATGCGGGGTGGGCGGACATGCGAGGGGCTCGTCAGTCACCGGGCTACGATGCCTCGTGCCCTCGTGCCCTCGTGCCCTCGTGCCCTCGTGCCCTCGTGCCCTCGTGCCTCATGCCTCGTGTTCGCTCACTCAGTGTTTCGCTGTGCGCCTCATTCTCGCTCCAGCGGCAGTGTGTCACTGAAAGCGCTGCAGCTGCGACGATGCCTCGCAGCTATTCGAGCGAGCCCACGTCGCACGGGCAGCAGGGCAGCGAGAGCACTCTCGCGCCTGTCCGCTCACCAGCGTCGTCGTGGCCGCCCGGCAGGTCCCACGAGTCCCGCAGCAGCAGCGGCCCCGCGTCTCTCAGATAGCGCAGCAGCGCCGCACTCACGCCGCTCTCCACAAAACTCGTCTGCAGCCGCTTCACTGCCGCCTATCGAAGCATTCCATACGGTGTACACAATCGATACATCCAGCGTACACAATGGAAGCATTCAGGGTACACAATCGAAGCATTCAGGGTACACAATCGATACATCCAGCGTACACAATGGAAGCATTCAGGGTACACAATCGAAGCATTCAGGGTACACAATCGAAGCATTCAGGGTACACAATCGAAGCATTCAGGGTACACAATCGAAGCATTCAGGGTACACAATCGAAGCATTCAGGGTACACAATCGAAGCATTCAGGGTACACAATCGAAGCATTCAGGGTACACGACTCAGGCGCGCATGAGAGGTGACGATGGCGGACGCGCATCGCGATGAGCAGAGAAAGGAAGCGACCAACTAGCAAGGAACAGGTGGATTCTCCATGCCTGTTCCCGTCTCTCCCACCTGACCATTGACCTGGCGCGACTCTCTCTCCCACCTGACCGTTGACCTCGCGCGACTCGACGGCGCCATCCGCGTTCGCTGGCGCGGCCTTGAGCCGCTCCTCGCGCTCTCTGCGATGGTTGCACACGGTGAAGGGGGCGACGGGAGCGTTGCTCAGTCGGGAATTTGAATCGATGTGGCGCAGCAGCGACAGCGCAAGTGAACGGGGAAGCGATCAACAGAACGGCGGAGCAGCGGAGCGGCAGAGTGGCGGTGGCTGACTGCGCGATGGCGACTAAGGGGTCCGAGGGAGAGCACAGTAGCGGAGAACGAAAACGGGCGAAACGACAGATCCTGAATTCAAATTCAATAAGGGCTGGAAATGAACGACAAGCCACGGAGAAATGTGCGAAAAGTTCCTACGTAGTCAGCTGAATAAGTTCGTTCGAAATGTCTTGCAACGCGCGCTTCTGAACATCGCCCATCCTGCGAATATCGGTCGTGCGCGGCTGGTATGAAACTAGTTTATTTGCAAACGAAAGAAAAACCCTGCACTATCGGTACTTGTTCGGTAAGATACGAAGTGTGTGGGAGTGAATGGGATAGTGACGGGACCTAGGGAGAGAATTTCCTGTTGAACCTTGGGGGAGTGAAGGCGTTCCTGCTTTCCCAAGGAGGGAGAAACGGAGCAGTCGGAGGAGCAGCACCACACTCGCTCGCTTGCGCGCGTCCCTCGATCTCATCACCTCTGTTCCCAACTTTGCTCGCGCCTTGAGGTCTTCGGGGGTTTGAAATGTGTCAGTCTGGCGGGAAGTATTGCTAGAGTGTGACCCGCCAAGCATCACCAAGCGAGAAACATGAGCTCGAATGTTCCCAGATATACCACCAGGGCTGTACTGAGATTCCCATTCCTTATGTTACGAGCGAGCGAGCGAGCGAGGATTGCACTAAGAGTCAAACGAGTACGATGTGAGCCAAGGCATGAGCGAAAAATTATAGCGAGAACAATGAACAGGAACGCGGGCTTGAGAGCTAGCTAGTGCGATGCTGGCAGCGAGGCTCGGGCTAGTCTCAGATCGTAGGCCAACTCGACCAAGTCCAGCAGTGAAAGGTTTTGTTACGAATAGTGATTATTGAAGTATCACTGTGCACTCCTTACCGCAGCAACCGAAGCACGCACTACCGAGAATGAAGGCGAAAGGACGGGAGTGACGCGAAGGGTCGTACGGTTACGAAAGGATCTGGACCGTCGGGCAGACAGCATCAGGCAGCAGCAGTGGCGAGGATTCTGGCCGGAAAGTTTCGTAACTGTCTGGAGTCGCACGGTTGGATTTCGCTGTAATAAGGGAATGTACCCCTTAGAGTACATGGCTAGCTAGGTCGATTGGTATTCCCTTGTACTCTTGTTTATAGTGCAGTATTTGCATGTTTTTATAATCTCAAGCATTTTATACTCACTCTGCTATTGAGGTCACGGGCCCACCACCACTACTCAGTCGTGTGCGAACCTTCCTGAGGTGATCCTAGGCACGATCAACTTTTGATCGCAACATGGTATGAGAGCGACTCAGGAATCCTTCGCACCGCCACCACCGAAATCTTCGGCGATCGGAAAGTGGCGTCCGGCACACGCTCACGCGTGAGAATGGCCGGAGGATCTGGTGGTCAGACGAATCTGACGGCTGAAGCGCAGACCAACCCGGCTGCGACAAGCGAGGAAACGACGACAATTGGAACCGCCGCCCTCGCACAGATGCTTCAGCGACTCACCAGCCTGGAGCAACAACTCCAGACATTGCGGAACGGCGACGCGGGAACTTCTTCCCAACCCTCTCAACCGGCCTCGAACGGCCACAATGCCGCCCCGCATACCTTCTCCCTCGACACCAATGGCTCAACCCCCAAAACTCCCCATCCCAGTGAAGAGGCAATTCTCTCTGCGCAATCAAGGTTTTTGAGTATATAAAAAATAGCGACAAGTGTGTGCTTCGACAGCAGAGACTTCTATACGTGGAGCTTCGAGCTGGAGTTGCTGCTACAAAACGCGCAGATCTTCCACTATTTCGACGGGAGCTACCCGGGACCCGCTGAAGACACCGACGACGCCAAGGCAAGGTACTACAACGAGTCCCTGATGGCGTACGGAGTTCTTCTGCGAAATATGTCGCCGGCGGAGCAATTGAGCATTCGCTCATACAAGACAACACCTGCTCCAGCCCTCGACGCTTGGCGCCACCTGAACGGCGTTTACCAACCGAAGGACTCGGTTTCGTCGAGCCGCCTGCTCCAGCAGCTACTGGAGACAAGAATGGCACCAGGGGAGAAGGCCAACAACTACATCAATCGCTGTCGGAGCTAACGCGATCAAATCGCGAAGTTGGGAAGCACGATCTCTGAGGAGATCTTCGTAAACATTGTGCTTCAAGGGCTCGGCCCTGCAAGGCGCTTCTCTGACAGCAGGGGGTCATCTCGGAGGCCGCCCTTTGCGCCGCCCTCCTCGTCGAACAACGGGATATGGACCAGCAGCGACCAGCGCCACGACGAGACAGGGAACGCCTCGCCTTCTACGCCGACAACACGGAGGAGCGACGGCCGCGACGCCTTTACTGCAAGATCTGCAGAAACTTCGGGCACCTGGCAGATCGGTGCAAACATCGATCTCGCCCTCGTCAGACCAATCCGAGCAACTGGTGCGGACGACAAGACGCAAGGAATGACACGCGTCCTGCCCAGGGGCATCAACCCCCACCGCGCAACCTCAATCCAACGATTCAGCATCAGCAGCAGCAGCCACCAACTGCGCCCGTTCGCAACGTCATGGACAACATGACAATGACGAGTGGATCTCGTCGTCCCCGTGCGCGCTCACCATCACCGGAGGAAGCACGTCACCCAATCGGAGCGTTTTCGAACAACAATCCGTTTAGCACACGCCACGATTTCACTGACGACGACGACCAGGACTGGAACCTGCCAGTCCCGCTGCTCGAGAGCCCCCCACACGTACCCGATACAAGGGCGGCACCGATCGATTGGATCGCGCGCGAACAATTTCTAAAGGTTGACACACCACATATCGTTACTTCGCGACTGGCGCTGCTCGCACGTAACGACAACAAGCGCTACAACACGTGGTACCTGGATAGCTACTGTGGGCAGCACATGGTGGGCTCTGAGCGTTACATATCCAACGCCGTCGCCACCCCCGCCGTCACCCACGTCACTGTGGCGAACAACACGCGCCTGCGCGCAAACGCGCAAGGCATCGTTGTGCTCAAGGCCCGCGGGAGCAGGACGCACATCACGTTGAACGACGTGCTGATCGTGCAGAATCTGCGTTTCAATCTCCTCTCGGCGGCGCAGCTCATGGATTGCGGGGTCGACCTCAGCACCAACCCCGAGACACGTGACATCCTGCTTCACTTCACGATGCCGGACAAATCGCGCAAGCAGATCGGGCGAGCGCACTCCGAAAACGGAGTATACATCCTCGACTTCAGCATCCCCGACTGCAGCGGTGATTCGCAAGAGCTCATCGACCTCATCCCCCTGCGTTTCGAACACATGCACCACCGTGACTGGAAGCACCCTGACGGAAGACCGTGGGTGCCTCATCACGCTCACCCGCGCGAAACGGCGCTGCATGACCCCGACCCCGACGGCATCTACAGAGATTGCCATACGCCCACAGCCTCCACGAGCGCGATCGCCGGCCGTGGTCTTGCCGCCATCGCCGAAGCAGATAGGGAAGCACCGCCTGAAGAGGGAATGTCAAACCTGGAACTCGCCATCACAACACACGGCATCTTCGGAACACAAGAGCACCCCCTCCCAGGACCTGCATCACAACATCTTCAAGGAATGCTGCGCGGCGTTGGTGTCGGAACCTTCGATGCGGAAGGAAATCCGCGACCCTACACGCAAGAAAAAATCCTGGAGATCTACGCTCACCAGCGCGACTCTACGAAGAAGCTCACCGTAGCGCAAGAGGAGGAACTGGCGCGCCGCGAAGCGGAAGAACTTCGCCAACGGAGCCTTGCGGAGTCGCGCGGAACATTTGCCTGGAGCGTTTGGGGCGAAGAAGAGAGCGCCTCCAATGAAGGGGGGTGGGGAAGCGCTGGCGGATAGGGCACGAGCGACACTGGCGGCGATACCGGCGGATGGGGAGCCGCAACTGGCGGCAACACCGGCAGCTGGGGAGCAGTCACTGGCGGATGGGGCGCCGCATCTGGCGGCGAGACGAGCGGCTGGGGAGCTTTTCGCGAGGACCAAAGGGGGGAAGAAGAAGAAATTGCGGACATCGAGGTCGAACCTCCTGTTGTTCCTCTTGGTCGTCCTCCGCGCCGCCCTACACCCGCACTGCCCCCACCTGACATCCCGCCAGGGAGTGACCCTTGGGATACCATCGACTGGGGAACGAGCCATCAACTCCGCGACGCACCATCTACGGGCCTGCCCCCGAGCCGCGCGAGCCAACCTTCTTCCCGGGAAACATCCCCGGAACCAACATTCCCCTCTCCACCATTCTTGACAGGGAATTTCTTGCGCTGATGTTAACAACAGCGAACGGAGAAGAGGAAGCTGAAGAAGTAGCGGCGACACCTGCTCAAGCACCCAACGAGGATCCCGCAGAGGCACTCGCGCGCTACATGCGCACCTCTGGATTCCGCGCCGACGATGCCATCTGGCACCAGCGCCTAGGTCACCCCTCGCGCGTAACTCTGAAAAACTGCATCGAGTCCGGCGTGTTTGCGCCTGGCGCACTCCTACGCCCTGATGGCACCGAAGTAAGGGGCGCGACACATCCGCGCAACTGCACCGTCTGCCTCGAAGCCGCACTGAGCCACCAGCCGTTCCCCCTGCTAGAGCCCGGAACCAACCGCTACACCAAACTGGAGAAGGTGTACAGCGACTTCCTCAACGTGGGACACTGCGGCATCAACGACGAACTCTACACGCTCACCTTCGTCGACGCCGGAACGCGCTACGTGTGGGTCGTAAATGTGGAAGCGCGCAGCAGAGCATACGAAGTATTCCGCCTGTGGCTGGCCCACGCGTAGCGGCAATCTGGGGAGAAGTTGAAGATCTGGCAGTCTGACGGCGCGGCGGAGTTCAGGAGCAAGGAGCTGCA